TTCAAATATTGAATCATTAGTTTCATCATTCTGGGAGCATAATTTAATATAAAATGAATATTGTAAAGATATCTAAAGTTAGGTGCCTCCAATCATTTTAAGTGGTACATTATTAGACCGCTATTGTTTCTATATCAATTGAGCACTTGTGTTTCACATGCCAAATAGTATTGGTTCATGTTGTCAGTAAAATGAAAATATGATTAATTATCTCTACGTTTGAAACTGCAGACACGAATATAGACTTATTTGTATTATTGTTTAACAACGAGGCTAATATTCTTCACTTTATGCGACCACTAAAATAGATGAAGTGCAAAGAATATCTTTTATAATAATTCATACATGTTTGGTTATTGTTTTACTTTTGTTTGCGTAAAATTGTTATGTTTTGTTCGCTTCATGTTTTTCTATAGAAGACATATAACTCGTTTAAAAATGGTTTCCAGCGACTGATTATTATATTAATTATATTTTTACGTTAAAGTTTTAAATTAAATATATCAATATTTTGGAGTAAACTATCGCACTATCGCATGTGTACATTTGGATTACATTCTAGAAAGGCTATGAATTAATGAATAAAATGTTTTTAAATTAGCAATTTAAACCCGTTTGTACAAATCGTATAAATTGAGTTATCTAGCCATCCACTAAACTAATAAACTATATTACTACATAGTTATTTGTAACATAGGATTCTGATTAAACTTTCAATTGCGTTTTTCTATTGTTTATCTACTTTTAAAATCAAGTATGTCATAAAAACGCATAAGGATATCGTCGAAGTTTTAGACATACTTATCTCTCTGACATAATATTTTCATTTGTTTCAGAATATTGTGATGTATTTATGAAAATAAATAAATTGTCAATGTCGAGGTGAGTGAGTTGGGGAAAGTGTGCTCTTTACTGGCATTTTGTTCACCCTGACATAAAAATTACTGTAGACACTGTCTTTGATCGTTTTATGTCTTATCTCATTCACAGCTAAAGTGATAAATATAAATGAATATAATTATGTAAATAAATGTCTGTAAATGATTATATAGATCATCAATGTATGTTGAATAAAAAAATAATGTGTACATATCTAGGTCATGATAAATAAACATCAATAAATTGAATAATTGACCTAATATACTACGTTTCCGACACTGCAAGTATTTCAATATGAATATTTTTGTATTTTATAATGATAGTAGTGGATACAAGTTACATGTTTTTATATCATTCAGATTTCGCCACATATAGCACGGACATATTTTTGATAACAGAGAGTCATTTTTTTAACACAATGCGTAATATTTTACAGGGTAATGGTGGATCAAAGAAAACAATCCAATTTTGAAAATTAAATTGGCTTTCTTTATGAGATAGTGATAGGTTTAAATGATAGCATTAATTATGATAGTACGATGTTTTATTTTAATTGCATGCTCTAATGATAAATATTTAAAATCGGTTTAATCGGTGTATCATCTCTCAATAAAAGACAAATCAGATATAAAATAAATAAATGGATTATTAGCTCATATTTTATTACGACGAGACAATTGATAGTGAAAATATCATAAATCATAGAATGTGATGATATATTCATATTTCAATACATTAATAAGAAATCTAACGTTCTTTGTTTTAATTTTTTCTTTGTCGATGATGAACAGTTTTCTTTTCTTTAATGCAGATGACATGTACAACAAATTTTGTGAATGATATTATATCAGATATTTGTAAAATGAAAAGCAAAACAGCAATTAAAAAAAATACCTTGTTTTTAAAACTAGGAATAAAGCAGATCTGTATGGCACATACAAGTCACAAAAGCACATATATCATAAGGAATCAGAGTATTTATAAATTGTTGAATATTAACGTAGGACTGGGTATTACCAGGAAATGCTATTTTTAATATATTGTTTGACGATTTTAATGTTTATTGTATATATTCTTTTTTAACAATTTGGCTAAGTAGTAAACTTACTGATCAGCCAATTGACCTCAAAGTTAAGTCGTTCTGAAAATAAGATGAAACAGTGAAAGGCATGACTGTTTCACACCAGAATCATGGTTACAAACAGAAAATGACAGGGTTTTGTTATTTAAAAATGTTAGAACTGAAAAGGAATGTATTGACACCAATTGAAGGTTTCGGGACATGATAGTTTAAACATTTTATCTTAGACATGGAGATATAGACCAAATACATTAAATTTTTTCAAGTATTCTTATCTATTTGAAACTTTGACGGTATAAACGATAAATGATTTACATATAATATTTATAGAAATATTATATTCGGACGGCGTTATTAAGAGTACTAAATGAATACACTGTTACAACAATATTTTTCTAAATAACATGAGTCATTGAACATTGTAATACACAACTGTATAGAGTTATGTTATCACAAAAATCTTCCAGGAAAAAAACAGAGCTGTAATAAATTTACCACGAAAATGAAATAATATTTCCTGTGATCGTAATAAACAAAATTGATTATCGAAAGTTAAAATGGTTATATTTTCTCTCTCGCTTTGAGTTCCATGTTGTCCCATATTGACTGTCATTAATTACTGGATAGATAAGCTTTGATCGCGCGTTGAAATTAAATTACGTTCTCACAGCTTGTAAAATGAATGGAAACACATGCTGTAGTTTATTTCATATGGACATGTTGCCATTATTATACGGAACATACTATATGAAACATAGTGAAGCATGGTAATTGGTCCAGTGTTGAACATTAAATACTAATACATGTTTTTTTCTTTTGAAGACAAATGGGGAATCATAATAAGAAATCACAATGAATGCCGTACATATAACTATTAGATGACGAAACTTAACTATCTTTCAATGTTTAATTGAAATAAAATACATGCAAATATTCAACAAATAAATAGACAACATGTCTAAGATGAAAGTTCGAAATCAAATGTTTCGTCATAATGTATGCTTATCAATGACAGTCTTAGTTATAAAAATGATATACAGTTTTTAATTCAAAGTGTTAATAATGTACGCAATCGCGTTAAATATAACTGAAAACAAAATTTCCCTCGGTAATACTTGTATCAGTTTCAGCCTCGCTAAGCGGAGTCTTTTTCCACATCGGTTCGAGCTTCATGTCTGCTTTCTGATATGAAGCGTTAATCAGTCCGAGCCTGGCTAAGCGGTCTGTTTGTTTTCCTGGCACTGGTTAATTAAAAGCTTTTAACACAACCCCTATGTGTAAAAGTAATTTGTGACAAGGCCATCGATTAGGTTACAAACAACTTGGTATAAACTATCAAATAAAACCGATCAGTTAGTCTAATAGTCTAAATGGCTGGACTATAGTAAAATAATAACTTCCTTAACATACCAGATCTCAAATGTTAGTTTCCAGCATAACGACGTGCTATGATTAAAAGGCGTGTTTATTATGTAAGTGGATGTCTGGAAGATGAAATCATATAATGAAAAAAGTAAATTCCTCAATACTTAATTAGAAACTCCTTTGATCATAACGACCGTCATTTAGCCAATAGCGGTAATGTAATTCCTGAGATGTTTTCTAAGCAAAAAAAATGTTAATTTAGCAAGATTTAATTCGAGGCAGTTATCTTTTGATACGGTTATCATTCCGTCACACATAATGACGTCACAATAATTTATATCATGCGAAAATTAAATTTTGTTAGTTATTTTTGATAAAATTTCATACACCCGATGATTGTAATTTTAGATAATTCAGTAATCAAGAAAGAAATTTGGAACATATATTTTGTTAAGTAAAATTAAATGGCACGGATTAGACAGTTCTTGGATGTATTGTTCACACGACACTTTCCTTATGTTGTCGCTAACATTAGGTTTTAGCGTTACCATAATAAACCATGCTAATTAAACATACCAACAAAAACGCCCCCTTACTATCAAAGTTCATTGTCTAAAACTGTAAATAATTATTTCTTCTTACGTTATGTGCTCTCATTATTGAAAGCAGAAAATAAAAGCACCAAGTCTGTTAGTGTAACCTATAATTAGAACTATGTTGTATATAATGTCCTTACAAATAATTAAATAAAAAGCTCAAATATCACAAATTTAGAATTATTCAGTCTGACAGATTTTACCATAAAATCCTCAGACGTGGCAAGTCCGTTTTTACGACTGGCCAGTTTGACGTATCACTGAAAAGTTCATTAGCAAAACGGACATAAACAAGATACGGAGCATTACGGAAGAGCATTGATTTAGTACACAAGGTCGGTTAATGGCTGACCATTATTCTTCTATAAACACAACTTGTAAATTACTGGGCGTAAAAAGCAGTCATTTCGGAAAGAGAAGAATAACAATAGAAAATACATTAAATCACCTCTGCTACAATAATGTAAAAGAACCGCTTAACGAATTGTCTGATAAATTTTGCGGTGTCTTAGTATTTTGATATATGTATATGAGGCATTTAGAATCCACTAGAAATACATATGGATATCTTTTGATAAAAAATTGTATAGTTTCGTGCAATTCATCTCTTCAAATCGGGATCATAATCGATTTGCACAGATCAAAATATTTGGGGAAAAAATTTATGAATAACAATACACATTAAATAAGAAAATCTTGTCCAAATTTACGGTCAAGATCATACGGTTGGTGGTCCCATTGGTACTTTTAGTTCACCATTTGTATCAATTTTTATAATCTTGCAAATTATACAAATAGTTTGATATAATCTATATCAGTGGTTATCAATGTAACAAATGGTATTTTTGAACGGGTACCATTGGGAATACTTTGAACGCACCCAGTATGATAAAATCTGTTCAGAATAAACTCTTAACCAGTGGTATCAATGGTGTTTAATGTTAACAATGGTAGTTTAGTATTTAATTTAGTGTAATTAGGAACTCTCTGAACGTATCCATTATCTTAGTTACGCTTTTGTATATGAGCAATGTACGTTTTGAAAAATATCAAAGGGAGATAATTGTGTTTCATTTCAGTTATGTCTGCCAACTACAGACCACAGTTTAATGATGCTCTTGTAGAGATCAACGCTGTAGCAGGTCGGACTGCCATATTACCGTGTTCAGCTCTTAACAAAGGGGATCGTAAGGTACGTGTATTACCATGGTAGCACGTGCAATACTCCCACATGTCATTTATGGTATCTTTTCTACATTTTTACGTTTTATTTTCAGAGCAAGAAACAGGTAAACAGTGATATGATACTTTTTTATATTTATAAATAAGTACCTAATATGACTCTCGGGTAACTGTTAACGGAGGCTTCCCTCAAGCTAGATATATAATTCCGTGGCGACAATTGGTGTTTGATTCTTTTTCTTTCATATTACATGTACATACAGATAAAATTTCGGAAGAATTTTCAAAAACTAATATTTTCATTTTTCATGTTTTGCATAATTGTATCGTACGAAATTACAACTTCATTCACTACAGAAAACTGGCATCATCCTAAACACGTAGTTTATTTACAAAATGCACGTGAGTTGTTTTACACGGAGTTTAAAAGACGATTTTTATAGCACCGTTAACGTCAAGATGTGCAAATATTTAACTCATTGACTTCTCTCATGTACTTTCTCTTAATAATCACTCAAACTGGATGCTAGGTCTTTGTCCATCTCTTGATAGTATTTTAAATAAATGTAGTAAATATCCAACGTGTACGTATGTATGTATCTACAGATAAGTTTATTGTATCTGGATTAATTGTTACAAGTTATTGTACTATATTGTTACGGATTTTCATCGTATAAGGATAAACGTCTCTTTTTTCTTAATAGATTCAAAATCGTTTACAAAAAAAATGAAATAAAAAACAAAGACAAACCACAAAAAACAACGTTATTTGTCTCAAGTAAAATTCCGAAAACTTCTTAGAAAATGCATTCATTTAGGATTCGATCTTTTATTAATGATTACTGCAATTATTCTCTATTGGATTAATGATTCAGATACTCGAGGTAATGATTAAGCAACTCGAGCTGTAATATTATTCGCTTTATTGCACGGACCGTACAATTGCAAGAAGTTATTTTCATCGGGACTAGTTATTATTGAAATGGAAAAGTCTTGTAAAATGTTAAAGACTCCTGGCAAAATATAGAACTGTATTAGTCTGAAACAAATTATTTTTCTTTTCCTTTGACAGCTCTGTTTGGTTTTAATACACTTTTGGAAAGAAATATATTACTTCAATCATAATCAATTTAAGGACTTATGTATTACTTAAGTGTAGTGTAAAGATATTTGGGTCTGCAATATGTGAGCACGGATCACCGCGCGGAGAGCACGTGAAACTAATTTGGCGTCTGATTTCCCGCGGGAATTTTCTATCGTCTGCGGATTGCTTCGGAACCGTGAGAGATTTTCTACGAACTGTGACATGAACGCTTCTTTGAGCAAGTACAGTTGTCAGGAAATTCAGTTCCAATATATCACGATGAAATTTGATTACATTTGCCCACAAAACGTTCTAATTGGCAATGTGCTCCTTTGCCGCGATCCCCTAGCCAGTTGTAAACAAGACGATAATTTTATTTGTTGTTATTTCCCAAAAGTTCTTATTCATTCTCTAGCTGCGTCTTCTGTAATAGCGAAAACAGTTAAGGCATTTGTCAGAATATGTTATGATTCACTCGGGACATAAAAGTTTATATCAAATAAAAAGATGCTATCAAAGCATTGACTGCCAGCAATGTCCACAATTTAAGAATATAGTTTCCAAATAAGTCATGTTTTTCGTTACACTCTAGAACTAAAGCTACATCTATTCACTATCAAATTAACAAAATGACTCATATTAATATAACGAAATAAAATAAACAATTTGACTTAATAAGAAATGCAATAAACAAAAATGCATTTTGCCAGTTTTATGTACAGTCATAAGATTTGAAGTTTAAATAGCCCGTATCAATTTTGGCGTGTTTGTCATCCTTTTCTTAAATTCTAGGTACATTATTGCTAGTTCAATATATTTCTTTTGCAAGTTGTAAGTTGTTTTGAAACGATAGATCTATTATTAAAATGAATAAATATTTGTCTGTTATCAAAAGGAATAATTTTTTGATATAGACACGTTTTATGCATCTGGGATAACTGTTTGTCTTAAGAAGATATAGTTTGATTTCAATTAATGATTTAAAAGAATTAATTCATGTTTTAGATTTTATTTCACCATATCACATTTAAGTGTTGCATTCTGCTTAAGCCGGTGCGGGGGCGTGCATGGTAGCTTGCAATATCACAATAAACCGTGAACAGGCTCAATCAAACCGAGCCTGCAACAATTTCGATTTTGCAGTTTTAGGCTTTTCTAAGGGATTTTCTCTATTTGACATTGTGAAGAATTTGACACGACATACGAATATATAGTTCTCTTCAAGCATTTGCAGCTTTTGATAATTACCAAAACATATTTATGTTAATCTTGTTTTCAAATTATTATTATTTGTTTAAAACATAGACCTAGTTTAATGGTATATCGGGTTAAATATACATATGACGAACAAGAATAAGTGTAAATGGGTATCTCATTATTAACTTTGTGTTATTATTTACAGATTATATGGATGAGTCCAAGACGAATATTGCTAAGTAATGAAGATGTCATTGTTGTAAACGACAATCGTGTCGGCATTGAACAAACAAAACAAGGGGACTGGAATCTTCGTATAAAACATGCCCAGCATAATGATAGCGGAGAGTACCTGTGTCAAATTAACACCAGCCCTGTTAAAATAAAACGTGTTAGACTGAAAGTTCTAGGTAAGTGTCCCGAACAGAAATGCCATTTTCTTATGGCAAAAGCTGAGTCACAAATTGATATGTGTTTAATACCTTACATTTCCTCGTTGTCATAACATTGAAATACAATATAGGATAATGTGCGTCTTACAGAACAAAGAGTGACATGTGACGTTTGCTAACTGAAACATCATACATACACGCAAACTAAGTGTATCAAAGTACATTCATCATTACATTCATTTTGATAGAATAAGCCCCATAAAGTATTGATGTGCTTCAACTGAACACAACATTTTGCTTCGTTATCAAGAAAGTTTTAGAATTCTTTTTCAGTTTTAGGGAAAATGATAATTTCGAAATGCAACACATATAGTTATAGTACATTATTCGAATTTAAACCAAATAATTTGCTCATTTTTCGTTATATTCTTGGTCATGGAACATGTATTATTATATCATGTTTATAGTAAAAGGAGAGTAATATGTCGCGATCAGTCTTTAATTTGTTCTGACATATTACGCGTGTTACTGATCACGTGTTACTTGTTGCCGCTTAAGTCTCTATGTCTTTTCATCTCATTTTTTTATGAAGGAATATATTTCATGAATGTATGACGATTTAAAGGGTAACATAGCTCTGTAAATGACATTTCAATTTATAAATGGCAGGATGTATGTGACAGATTATTTCAATTGATACAATTCAAAACTTTAGATTACACGTAATAAATAGATTGAGCGATCCAAGAAAGATCTAGAAAAAATGCTTCCTTGCCAAGTAAATATTCTGATAAAGTAACATAATATTTCCGAATAATTGAGTTTTTGAAATTGATATTGACCTTGTCTGTATTCCTCAAATTTGTTAGCGATCAGTTTACACATATACTAACTACAGATTCCCCTGTTGTTTGCGTTTAGTTAATGTAACGTATACATACTTTCAAAAACAACTAATAAAATATCAAGTGATAGTTTATCTGTTTAGGTATATTTAGTTTATGTAATTTTACTCAAAATTCCTGTAAAAAAGTACAGTGTGTATTTTCATATGACAGAGCATGCATGCTTTTACATATACATTGTATACTTCATTTAAAGCAAATTTCTTAATATATTCATTTATTGATTTATAAACTACTATAAGCATATTTGATTCATACTTTAAGAAAGGTGTGAGTCATGGGACGGACTACATAAAGCTAAATTCATTCTGATAAGTAATGTATATCTTTGGCTAATATCGGCCATATTTTTTTCTGTTCATAGCTTGTGAAAATAATACTTATTGTCAAAAAGGTAAGTGTGAGGTTAAATAAATATAAAAAAAATCTTGCCATACGAGCATGGAAAACAAATATTTTTAATTGATTGTTTGATTGATTGATTTTATTGTGCCCCCACTTTAGTGGCGGGCATTTAGATTTACCCTTGTCCGTCCGTCCATCCGTCCGTCCGTCCGAGCAAACATTTTGGGTTTAGGGGCTATGTAACAGTAAAGAGAACAAAAGAGAACAATAGGTTCATTCCGTGATCAAAGGGTTTATGGGCAAGTAGCCCTTAAGAAAACAAAGAAAATAACAAAGAAAATAGCCCCTAAACCCAAACTTTTGGAACGTCCGTCCGCCCGTCCTTCCGCACTCACAGGAGAGTAATTATGTGGCTAGAGAGATAATAGGTAACTGTTCTTTCTCTTTGATGTCATTCATTTCGTAATGCTTTTATGTGGCTATTTTCTTTTGTGTGGCTAAAAAGAACAATAGAGAGAACAATAGAGTAGCCACATAATTTCTCTCCTGTTAGAACGTCCGTCCGACCGTCCGTTCTCTTTTGTGTCGCACGTAACTCAAAAAAGTATTTGACCTAGAGTCACGAAACTTTACAGGAATGTTGATCAGCATGTGTAGTTGTGCACCTGGGTATTTTTGTCTGGATATTTTTAGTATTTTAGAGTAATTTCCCTTGACTTAGTAAAATTTTGCAATTTTCAACTTGTGTCGCATGTAACTCAAAAAGTATTTGACCTATAGTCATGAAACTTTACAGGAATGTTGATCAGCATGTGTAGTTGTGCACCTGGGTATTTTTGTCTGGATATTTTTAGTATTTTTAGAGTTATTGCCCTTGACTTAGTAAAATTTTGCAATTTTCAACTTGTGTCGCATGTAACTCAAAATGTATTTGACCTAGAGTCATGAAACTTTACAGGACTATTGATCAGCATGTGTAGTTGTGCACCTGACTATTTTTGTCTGGATTTATTTAGTAATTTTAGAGTTATTGCCCTTGACTTAGAAAATTTTTGCAATTTTCAACTTGTGGCGCATGTAACTCAAAAAGGATTTGACATAGAGTCATTAAACCTTACGGGAAGGTTTCTCAGCATATTTATTTGCACCTGGGGTTTCGCTTGTGGATTTATCCAGTATTTGTAGAGTTATTTCCCTTGACTTAGTAAAAACCGTTTCATTATGTTGTTATTTGTTCCTTGAGTGCTTTAGTTAGAATCAACCAACTTTACAGGAATAATGATCAACATCACTAAATTACAGGAATAATGATTCACATTACTGTGAAGCTATGCACCTGGAACTTTGTATGTGGATTTTTTTTTTCAGTTTTGTTAGAGTTATTGCCCTTGACTTACAGTAATATAAATTTGCAATTTTCAACTTGTTCATGCATAGCTCAAAAAGTATTTCACTTGTAGGCCTGAAAGTTTACAAGAATGTTGGTCAGCATGTGTACTTATGCACCTTGGGGTTTGCTTGTGGATTTATTCAGTATTTGTAAAGTTCTTGCCCTTTACTTAGTAAAAGATTTTTAGTTTTCAAAAAATATTTTAACTAGAGTCATAAGATTGACAGAACAGCACCCGTGTCATTCATTCATTCATTCATTCATTCATTTTTTTATTTAGTTTTTTTAATTGTTTTTTATTTGTTTATTTTTGTTATGTTTTTTTTTTAATTTTTTTTTTATTAATTCTAATTTCGTGAATAAACTAGTATTTAAACAATATGAGATAAAAGAACTTAACAAATGTTTTTGATTTTGTTACATAGCGGGAATTCGACACATATTCGACGATTTACGAATTATACACACAAAAAAAGATTTTTAACTTGAAATAACAATAGAATTTAATTTTATCCCTGGGATAAGCCAACTAGTATATGCTATTGTGAAATTTGTACTATAATTTTGGTATTGATCGTTATTATGTGATATCAGTCCATAACTTTCTGTTTGAACTTTGTTATTTATATAAGGTCAAAGAGTGTAGATTTAACACTCTTGTTACAATTTCATTTGATATTCAGTCAAAAGGAAAAACAGAGGAGCAGTTTCTGTTTGACACAAGTCCTTAGTGTGTAATATGTGTTTCCTTTATTGTGCCAGATCTGTAGAAATACTCAAACAATCGATTTCTTTTTTTCGTGGCTCATTAAACGCTACAATGAAATAAACGATCATGTTACAATAAAGAATGAATTGAAGCTTGAAAAAACACTTTGATAAGTATTTCGTAATTGTTATGTAATAGCGGTCATATGAGTTCAAACCGACCACACATGAAATATATAACTATTGTCTGTTGCTTTAATAGTAAACAAAGAATGTCATAGTTTTAAAGTCAATGCATGAGACTTTGCTCCAGAATTATCATGTATTCAATTGTAGGTACAAACAGGACAATATTTTAAGAATTTTTAAGTAAAATATAAAACTTGCTAAATGTATCAAATTAATAGACACATTTTCATTTAGCCATAGTTTCTTATATGTTGATATAAAAAGACTGCTTTAATATTTTAGACATTGATTTATCTATAAACAAACTGTATCATGTTTTACAGTCCCAGCCCACATTTTGAATGATTTGTCCAGTAGAGACATAGACGTTGCGGAAGGCGGTGACGTAGTATTGACGTGTAAGGCTACCGGCATTCCACAACCAAATATCACGTGGTACCGGAAACCTATCGGAGCTGAACAAAACAAAGAATGTACGTATATCACGGGAGATTTTTGGTAAGATCCCTTACAGAACCAATAGCCATTGTAGCAGTGGCTTCCTCGTTTCCACACCGTGTTCTTTTACGTGAAAAAACTGCTAGAGGAGATTTTCAAATATAAAATACTTACATATATATTTTTCAGATCCATGTCGAAGTTTGAATCCCAAATTTGTATTTTATCATTTCAATGATGATAATATGTGCACACTTGTTTACTTTGAACAATCACTGAAAAACGCTGAGCATCAGAACCTGTGCATAGTTCTATTAAACAAACCGATATTGTCTTGTACATAGCTCACAAAAAATATTTAATATTTGGTACACAAGGATAAACAATTCGAGCATTTGTATGTTACATACACTTGAACGCTTCTCTAAAATAGACACTAGATCTTCAATGTCAAGATTTCTTCTGTAATCTTAACAACAGATGGTACATTATTTTATGAAAATATACAACAATTGGTCAGTTTCAGACTATCCAATGTGATCAGAATATTCAAAGTATTACTGAGAAATAAATTTACAGGTCCTTTTGCAGATTTGAATACTCAAGGCGAGTCGTTCTACATTAAGAACATAAAACGTTATCAAATGGGCCCTTTTTGGGGGGCTAAAAAAGCGTCCCCCCAAACAAAGGCCCAGAAGGAAAGATTGTTAAAGTTCAGGTTTTTAAGTGACGTCTTCTTTTAAATTAAAATGAATTTCTAATTATTAGACGTATAATGTAATTTTATTTTACAACATTTTACTCAAACACGCAGTTGGCGGAAAGATTTTGTCCTTTTGTTAATAATATATTTTTTTTTAATTATCAATGTCATCATGAACTTATAAAATACAATAAAGCACTCGTGCTAATTGTGTGAATAAATGGGTTATTGAATTGTACGCGTATTTTGTCTGTTTAAACACATATCCATTTTCAACTTTTAAATTAAATGTTTTGCCCAAGAATCTGTGTTGTTTAGTGTCGAATAGTAAGTTATTTTATATGAAATGTGGTTTTAAAATGTACAGAAATTGTACTTAAGTCATTTAAGTTATTGATTTTAAATCAGCTTATGTGTTTTTTTTAACATTTTTGAAATTATTTCAGATGTACCGATTGTAAAGCTGCTTAATAAACGCCTTGGACAAAGTCTCGGGAAGGAGACTATACTTGAATGTAGTGTGACGTCACATCCGCGCGCCAAAATTAACTGGTATAAAAATGGCGTCCAAATAAATCATAGTTTCAAATATAGACAGGAAGTGTATCCAGGAAAGCACGATACATATACATTAACTCTTCAGATATTGTATATAAATAAACATGATTACGGGGATTACACGTGCGAGGCTGAAAACAGAATGGGAACCCAAAGTGCAACAATGGTTCTATATGGTAATTAACACATTTAGATATTCAAGTACTGGTTATTGTTGTTGACCAATATGATTCTTAATGTCAAAATTTATATGTAACATATTTCAAATATATGAAGGCATAAATGATACTATAGATATGGTTATTTAAATTCATAGCTTTTAAAATTATTGATTTCAAAAGTAGATTGAAATCAATTGTGACATGGAAAATCGTTGTCAATTAAAAGATATTTGTCTTCGTGATCAACATTTTTCCTTCATACTAACTACTGATCTCAGATGAGTCTGCAACGAGTCCTGTTAGCTAGTAGCTGTAATTATTGGCAACATATATTGACGTTATTTACAAAAAATAGGTGAATTCTTAATTCTATTGGACGCGCACACAGCTGTCATACCTAAATTTGACGAGGCACTAGCCCGTTCTGGTAAAGATTCTAAAGCTGCTCACGAGTCCAATAGAATCAGTATTTTTCTAAAAAAATGTATAATGACATTTTCTTCACATTTTTGACATTTTGGCTTCAAGTGTTATAAGAAATTGATATGTTTTTTACCTGAAAATTAAAAAAGAGGCTAGATGGAGTGCGATATGTATTTGATATAGACTTTTGGACTTGACAATGATGCTATATGTGGTACGATATCAATTTGATATAGATATTTTGAACTCTACAAATGATACAGAGGCTCACGTCAATTAACATTCGTGCGAGGCTATATAGGATACGATATGGATTTGATAGTGATTGTTTGAACTCTGGAAAACTAGAATTGAGACTAAAATGCTATACTTTCATTGGTTATAATCTATAATGTGTAACAATACATATTACTAATGAATCAATCTGTACGAATGCTAACACAAAAGTACCACGGTGTTAATATCAGATGATTATTTTTTTCCACGGTTGTGACATTGGTTTCCCTTTTGCACGATGAATATTAGATTTAAGTCATGATTTCTGTTTCATTTCAGACCTAATTAAATGCAACCCAATAACATAGAAACTAAATACCACTTGACTATATGTAACCGCATATCAGATGGTAGTCTATAAATTGCTCCCGATCTTAAAAGCATTTAAATGTTTCACATAATATGCAACATAATGTTTTAAAATATGTACAAATAATAAACCTTATAATATTCCACATATTGTACCATAATATGGACCACTGAATTAACCTCGAAATGTACCACTTAATGAATGACATATTTGTACCATATAATGTACTAAATGATGTACAACATCTTTTTCACTTTAAGTTGATACGTTACATTGTATGTAAAATTGACTAAGGACGTAACAAATACCAATGGGTATGACTAAAATTTTCATAATACAAGAAGTATTTTACTTTTGTAGTCGTTAGAGACACATCTTTTCTTATCTGCAGAATAACAGAAACGGGTTCATAAATTATAAAAGTACGTTTACCAACTAAATGCCAATAGAGTATTACAACTACTCCATGGGTTTTCGGTTTGGAATATTCTACATCTAATTGCAATTTACACATCGTTAAATCCTTAATTGTTGAAATCCAGAATTGCCTGTTTCAATTAAAAATTAAGCGTATCTTGAAGAGTATCCTGCGGTCTGAAGACGCAGTAATGATATAAGACCATCGTGTAATACATTACTATAAAATCAAATTATGTTAGTTTATTCAGAATTTATTTAAGTTCAATTATGCAAGCTCCTTTAAGCTCAAATCCGCTCCTGGAACCAAACAGAGCTGAGCAATGAGTGTGAAGGAAACAACGACTCACACAGGACGGGGCTTGAACTCACGCGGCTAGTGATCCTCAGATTAATAGTCCACACCGGACGGGGCTTGATCTCACGGGGCTAGCGATCCTCAGGTTAATAGTCCATACCGGACGGGGCTTGAACTCACGCGGCTAGCGATCCTCAGATTAATAGTCCATACCGGACGGGGCTTGAACTCACGCGGCTAGCGATCCTCAGATTAATAGTCCACACAGGACGGGGCTTGAACTCACGCGGCTAGCGATCCTCAGATTAATAGTCCACACCGGACGGGACTTGAACTCACGCGGCTTGCGATCCTCAGATTAATAGTCTACACCGGACGGGGCTTGAACTCACGCGGCTAGCGATCCTCAGATTAATAGTCCACACCGGACGGGGCTTGAACTCACGCAGCTTGCGATCCTCAGATTAATAGTCCACACGGGTTGGGGCTTGAACTCACGCGGCTAGCGATCCTTAGATTAATAGTCCACACCGGACGGGGCTTGAACTCACGCGGCTAGCGATCCTCAGATTAATAGTCCACACAGGACGGGGCTTGAACCCACGCGGCTAGCGATCCTTAGATTAATAGTCCACATCGGGGGGCTTGAACTCACGCGGCTAGCGATCCTCAGATTAATAGTCCACACCAGACGGGGCTTGAACTCACGCGGCTTGCGATCCTCAGATTAATAGTCCACACCGGACGGGGCTTGAACTCACGCAGCTAGCGATCCTCAGATTAATAGTCCACACCGGACGGGGCTTGACCTCACGCAGCTTGCGATCCTCAGATTAATAGTCCACACCGGTTGGGACTTGAACTCACGCGGCTAGCGATTCTCAGATAAATAGTCCACACCGGACGGGGCTTCAACTCACGCAGCTTGCGATCCTCATATTAAAGTCCACACCGGACGGGGCTTGAACTCACGCAGCTTGCGATCCTCAGATTAATATTCCATACCGGACGGGGCTTGAACTCACGCTGCTTGCGATCCTCAGATTAATAGATCACACCGGACGGGGCTTGAACTCACGCAGCTTGCGATCCTCAGAATAATAGATCACACTGGACAGGGCTTGAACTCACGCGGCTAGCGATCCTCAGATTAATAGATCACACCGGACGGGGCTTGAACTCACGCAGCTTGCGATCCTCAGATTAATAGATCACACCGGACGGGGCTTGAACTCACGCGGCTAGCGATCCTCAGATTAATAGACCACACCGGACGGGGCTTGAACTCACGCGGCTAGCGATCCTCAGATTAATAGTCCATACCGGACGGGGCTTGAACTTACGCGGCTTGCGATCCTCAGATTAATAGTCCACACCGGACGGGGTTTGAACTCACGCAGCTTGCGATCCTCAGATTAATAGTCCACACCGGACGGGATTTGAACTCACGCAGCTTGCGATCCTCAGATTAATAGTCCGTCGTGAAAACCATTCTTGCATGTTACAACTGGTTATTATGTTATTATACAAAGTGTTTGATTTTATTTATATAATATACATTGTATATGTATTTTCTTCTTTCATAAAATCTAGAATACAAAGAGCCAACGTCAAAACAAACAACAACACACATTCCATTTACAACGAAGTCCTTCCAGGAAGAGTACTACGAGAATGTTGACATATTTAGTCACGACAAGAAACATGGAGGAGATGTCGCTCAAGCTGATGGGGACAAATTTACTCCAGGAAATGGCTACAATAACAACAATAACTATTTCAATAGACAGGATATGAGCGGTTAGTATCAATATCAAGCTATTTTATGATAATCAATTTGTTAAAAACCCACTTAGAAATAAATAGCTGACTTGCTGACATAAATAAAGATCTGGATAAAAAGGGTGATCCCTAGGATGCATTAATCACAACAAAATTGCAAAAGAGGTTTGGTTTAGTCTGTACATGAGGGATAATGAAAGAGTGCAATATCCCACACGCCCCATAGCACCGGCTTAAGCGGTACTCAATTCTGAACACTTAAAAGTGCTAAAATTAGTGATCCCGAAGGACCAGAATATCGTATCAGTTCTTTCATAATGACTTTAATTTTAAAAATTTTAATGTATACAATCATATAAATAACATTATAATACACTTCAAAGTCATCGAAAGTTTAACTATAACTAATGCTTTTTGAATATGTTAATTTTTAATAGGTTTTCATGAATTAAACTAAATGTAACAATTTATATATCTTTTATAGATTACCTAAAGGACACTGATATCAACACGGCTAACGTCGCAACTGTGAGAATAATACATTTGGCTGTTTCTCTTATCGTCAGTATTTTATTTCGTAAAATCTATCGATAAGAAAATATAACGTTAAGACCATTTCAACAAAAACAAGGACATGGAGCATACGAAATTCAAAGATGTTAAACAAACAACATTCTGCCAATACCTGCCCAGCTACCGACATCACAAAGCTGGCTCTAACATTGGCACTTAATGTCTTAACATAAAATGTTTCATTAGACAAAATGAGCGCCAACATGAGATCATATGATGACCCACGTGACATAGGCGGTGGTAATTTAACAAGTGTTCATTTTTTGTGAGATAAAATGTTTCCTACATACAGAGCTGCAGGTGTTGGACAACAGATGAAGGATAGCAGATAACATTTAACGTATGAAATTTGATTTAGTGCTTCTGTTACACAGATATGATTTATGTGACATTCGTTAACGGACATGTTTGGCATCTTAAACAGATCATTACTTTACATTTTTTGCTGGAACAATTCACTGACTCAATTTATTTACTAAACTGCATATTTCCTGTGTATTCTTGTAAAACGGAAGTGCTTGAAGACAAATAACACATATTTCTGTTGTGAATACAAAAGTAACTTTCTGCACAGACACCATATGAATTTGCCTTATTTTTAGTGTAATGAAATTGCATTATGAAAATATGGGCATCTTCAAAGTTGATCTTAATTATTAATTTTGACTGATTATAATTTAACAATAAGTGGTGTTTTATTTTCAAATTCCAAATTTTTTAATGATTTTCTATAACGTTTCCGATATGTCAGGCATTTTATTTATGCCATGACTGATATATTATTTTCAGTTTTACATGGACATTTCTATTGTAGTTAACGCCGCTGATCATAAGTTTTATCAAAGCTTTTGTCATTTTAAAATTAATATAGATATTTATATATATCTTAACAGCATTATTTCGGTGCAATACCACATTATATTGTACATTGTATATACATTTAATCATTCCTCTATACTATATATGTCGTTTGAATGTAAGAATTATGCAACTGTGTGATAGACGTGTTTGTGTAGCAATATCTTACATTAGTGATATGTTAAAATTATGCATTGAAACACATGTTGGTGTGTAGTCAATTTATGCGTGACAACCAGACAACAAGATAGTGATATGTTTACACAAGTAAAGACGAAGGACTCTGCTTTTTTATTATATAATGATATTACTATATTCAAAGAAACACATTACACTTGAATTGTGTAAAATTTGATCTTATAAGTGATATATGATCATGGATCATAATGATAGAAATTGATATCGGTATATTTAATATACTATATTATCTAAATACAAGCCACATTCAAATAAGCACAACAATTTAGAAAAACTTTTTCGATCTGCATTCCCATGATATTTAATGAAAATAACATTTGTTTTGTAATGTAAAAACCATTTAAATTGCATTTATAAGAATACTTCAGTATAATTATAAACTATTTATGATTTCTTCCTTTTTTAAATTTGTTATTGATTAAACAAAAATCGTAACATATACAGTGTATATGCCAATATTAAAAACTAAAGTGCCATTATATATTATTTCAGATATGTAATGATTTCTTGTATTTTTCTTTCTTTCTTGTCTCCTTTGATCTATGTTTAACAAAAGTATGAATTAGGTGAAAATAAAGTGTTATTTTTAATTTTGAATGCTAGTTGGTTATATATTATTAATTATAAACCCCTCGTCCAGTCCATTAAAACAACCTAATATACGTTCCATTGATTACATACATTCAGTGAAATGAATTTTGTTTCCCAAAATCAGACTTGGGTTTTTTTCGGGGAAACTTATGTGGAAGTTATTTCCTATAATTATAATAATCAAAGTAATCATGCAAATTGCTTTTTCCGAAACGTTAAATATGGTTGCAATGAATTGAGTCATGTATTATTATTATTATTATTTATATAATTTATCGTACATTATTTATAAGCGTGGCGCTTGAAAGACCCCCTTTCAGGAAAGATTGACGTTTGCGTATGTTACTCAACAACAACTTCTATCTAATAATTTACAAATACCAAGTTTGAGTGCATATATATGAATTTCAATTTGCTTATTACATAATGTGATATTGTATAGTATAGTATAGCATTCAAAACGCAAAAAGACGTGAAAATAGACTAAGCCTTTTTAGCAATGTCTGAACAATATTGGCAAACAATGGAAATATTTTTGCTACAAACAAGATACTATAATGCTATATTGCCGAACAACTAATAGACCTGTCCAATTAAACATCTTCAAACAAATAACAAAGATAAAGGCTTGCGTATGTTTATTAAGATTTTTGTGAAGAATATTAAATTTAACACTACTGATTGTTTCTACTTAACTTCACATCGTATGCTATTAATGATACTTCACTTTTACTCTCATGGCGTTTAGTTATTGTAATCCACAAAAATACGTGATGAAATAAAGAATCCGGGGCTAGTACTGATTCCTACACAAGTTAAGTGGACTTAACACGTATGTAACAACACTTCATTTGATAAGAAGCAATCCAAATGAAGTATATACGATAAGTACAATACGAATTAATTGGACATTTTTAGCTGTCATTAAACGCGTTCCAAGTACCAATTGGTCTGCTGGCATAACAATTTATTCACCAGGAGAGTAAAATGGATATAATTTTGTAATGTAAAATTTGTCACTTTTGTTAGAATTTCTACTTCGTTTATTCCACAAAGAATGCTAATATACCCAAATACCTGTTCTTAATTTCCTTCCATCGTTTATTTGTTACATATGTTTCTAAATGTCTAATCAAAAATTAATACTTAAATTTACAGTGTTTTTCTTCCTCAAACATGGTTGACTAGTCACTGAAAATTAACTCTCAAAAATTCCTATACTGACTCTAGTATCTTGACTCTCACACTTGAATGCCCCTAGAAAATCGTGTACTAGTATTTATATGAAACCATAGTGTTAATTGACAAATTTAAACTTTCTATATTTATGACGACAAGTGTTGACCAAGTTACCATACCAGAAACAAACAGACTGATTCCTCGAATATTTATTATGGTAACCGATGATTGAGTTTTCTAAACACAACAATTGCAGGTTATTGTCCAGAATTTATGACGGTAACCGTTGACAGGGTTAACATATTAAAATCTCACAGACTGATACACAATCTAGCCCTTACGGATTAATAGTAATAAATAATGACAAAAAATGAGGTATCAATTCTCATACAAACTCAATCATTAAATCAAACCTTATCCAGGTGCATTGCTAAAAGTACAACACTATTAAAACAAAATAGAGGAAATAAGAATCCGTAAAGAAAGTGCAAAACGGCAAAATTGAAAATGTTGCAGGCTCGGTACTGTAAAATGCAAAGTACCGTCCACACCACCTAGCACCGGCTTAAGCAGAATTCAACATTTAGACACGAAAATGGTGACATTTTGAATTTAGAAACATTCGCAGATGTGTTCATACAGCGGTTATTATGGAACTTTCAATGTGAGACTTTCGTACGATTCCTTGAAAAGCGGCGCATTGTCCCCCAGTAAACAAACGTGTGTTCTGAACGAGAAAACAATGGGCAGAACTAAACAAATGGAATTATGAAAGGGGATTAGAGGTTATGAAGCTTGCATATCACAGAAAAGACGTCAAAAGGCAAATTTAAAAAGCAGGCAACATAGCCCAAGTGTAATTCAACAATATTAAATTTGGAATATTGAAACTTTTGTATAGTATTTACATCTTCATTGCCTACGATTTTCAAAGGTAGACATATTCTATAATACAGTGATTAAGTATTAACATTAAACAAAGCAAATACATGTATTGTCAATTTAGCTCAACTTAACAATGAAAATATAAGCATAATGTAACTTTAAATATTTGTGTCTTTAAATTGGACAGAAAGCAAGCAATGTAAATTGGCTATCATATAAATTGTGAATTACCGATCATAATAATTAATTCTAATTATAGCCATAACAAATATTGAATCATAAGTAATACATCTCGGATGTTAAGATATATGCATAATAGTCTTTCTACAAAATAATATGTTTACAAAAGAAAAGGAAACAATTAAAATAAAATTATATTATTCTTATATCACATTGAAGTGCAACAGATAAAGACACATGCAAAGTTGCACGTTGTTCATAAAGGCCATAGTATATAATGTTTGAATTACATAATGAAGTAAAGAAAGCTTAGTGGCATGAAAGGCAAAATATTAAGGTGTGCCTTGGACATAAAATAATCCAATCATGGTTTAAAGCGGATACTAATGCGCATAATTTCCTTACCTCCTTCATAAAAACATTAGAAATGCATCATTTTGACATTCATATGTAAAATACTTCTTAAAAAACAAATGTTGATAGAGTGATCTAGTGAACATTTATATGAGAACGATAGATTCGTACTATTTTGCTCTGGAAAATTTACTATCTGTTATTATATATAGCTATATAATATCAGATAATGTATCCTATACATGGTTTGTTCTCATGTTTGATACTAAATACTATCAACATACTTATGTATGGTTTTACAGACCTTCCATTATAGACCAATTCACTTAAAGGGATTCTTAAATCTTGAACTACTAAAGGTATAGAGCCTGGACAAACTTGTGGCAGAGGTTAAGCATGTTATGACCCAGCAGGAAGAGTGGTTTATTCACCAATGGTTGCCAATTTCTTTTAACGAACTCCTTGCAAAATGTTGTGAAAAAAAATTCAATGTTAAGTCGCAAATAGTAAAATGGCACGAGCAATAGATTATTCCATATTGGATTGAAACAGATAAATTACATTCATATTGTCCGGAAAGAAAGTGCTTACACTAAGATATAGGAACACTAGAATAGGAACCTTTAATAAACTGATTATCAAATGAATACCTTCACTAAAATTAGATAAAACTTTGTAATTATTCGAAAAGCTTATAATTTGTTATATATGATCAGGCTAAATCTAACTATGCTTGCAACATATTTCATTTTGACGTTCTTTGGGTCTTCTCCAGATTTCCAGTGTTTTGATGTCTAAAAGCACACCACCAAACTATTATTTCGTAACCACACAACGCTTATGAATACACGGTAAGAAAGTATCCCATGGAAGATTCAATCATCACTGTTGTATAGATATATATTCAAATGGTTCTTGACCGTTTCTATTTTTAAAAGGTTATTCTCACATCAGCGTTGTGTGTATCATTTATTTTAACACAGATGTCTGTGATGAGCAAGTTTCGAAACCTTTTGACCCCTTTTTAGAGTTACCATTGCTGTAATATAAACACGCCAGAGGATGTTTTTGAATTCTAGATTTCTAGTAAACGGCATTTTCATGTTTTATTGGAACATTCTGCTTAGACCGATGCTTAAGGGGACGTGGACGGTAACTTACATGCAGATATAGAATCTATCAAACTAAGTTTGCAATATTTTAAATGTTGCCGTGTTTGGCGATATTTGAGGTTTCCATTTTGAATATTTTAAACTCAACAATCTTTCAAGAAATATTTCAAATAATTGAAAAATAACTGATCAGACATTTCACAAATTGATTGATAAAATGTTTCAAAACAAATCATGATGTTATTTTTCATGAGATGTATTTTCGCATTAAATCTATCAAATAACGTGAGAATAATTTTCCGTCGGCATAAAAAGAAAATTGGCGAGTACATGGGGAGCAAGAAAATTTAATTTATTTCCTAATATCCCGCGGAAGAATATAAAACACACTACGGAATCTGTCAGAGAGTCACTGCAAATCTTTGACAGTAATTGTTGCTTGGAGGTTAATCTCTTGTCAAGACATTTCTATCGTACTTCTTATCTATCAAATTAAAGAATAAGATGACGTAAATGTTACTAGTTTCACTACTTTCCATTCTATTTAATTCAATTTTATTTAAAACAAATATGTGCTACATTCTTAAAAAAAACTCATTTGAGTATGGACACGGTAACAAATACGAATTTAAGGTCATAATTGTGCCTATAAAGTTATAAAAACACACGTGCTCTTCATGATAATTATGGTAAGAAAATCTGCCGAAGATGTACAATAACACATTAAAAATTGCAGCATCGCTGAAAAATATTTTTATCTAACTCTCAGCAATTCAATTTTTTCCTATATTCGCACTCGCTGTAGCACATCATTCATAAATAAATTTTATTTTTATCTTTCAAATATATCATCCTTTTATTGTAATATTCATAATTATAAACTCATACCAAGAAAAACATGATATTTTGGTATTTTAGTAAACAGAAAGTGTGTTAATTGATTTATTTCTTGTGTTTAATAGTGAGTTAAGGAAACATAATTACATTGCGTTGATTGTTGAGAAATAGCATTGTTGCTTTTTGCATCTAAACGTAAATTTATGATTTACGTAGCAAACTATTAAAAAAAACATGGCCCTTTGAAATGAATTTTTAATTTGAATTGTTTTGCGCTTAGTGAAAATTAAAAAGTAAGCAATCAACATTGTTTAATTTCAATTATTACTTGTTCACTTAGATTCTAATCGGATTCTGTTTGGTGATTTTGATCGATTAAAAAAGATCAGCTTTTAATCAAATTTAGAGGACTCATCTTAAGATTTGCCACCATCATATATCACAAGACGAAACTGTTAT